TGCACATGAAGAATTGGGGCTATAATGTTATGTTTCAATAGGTTATTTACTGATGTACCTTGATAAAAGTAGGACTGTCATAGGCCTGATCTGCTCTTGGAATTCTAAACTTTTGGCTGACATAGTACCTTGATATTTAGCATTGTCCAGTTATTGTTGGGAGGTTTATCAATTTGGCTGCCTTCATCAGATTGGCATTCAATCTTGTTGGAGTTCATTTAGTTTTGCTCCATGTCTGGATAAAGGTGGTTGGATTGCAAGGCTTATGTTTTCACTCTGTACAAATTGTAGAGCAGGTGGTGTGCTTTGGTATGTGTAGGTTATCACCATTTTTTATCCATGACTGTTCTTGTAGACATGAGCTTATGTTTAGCTGTTCTAGTTATTATTATGGTTTCCATCTGAGGAGTATGGTTTGGCTTAAAATTGGATAAACAAGTGAAAGCTGTCTTGAGAACTAAGACTGTTGTGGCCTCATTTCTGAGTAGATTCTTAAAGGCATTCCTGTTTTGGGTAAATGTTAGCTGGTTTTAGTGTGATTTAGGTGGGATTCTTTGTTGTTGCTAAGCACTAGGGGGCTGTTATTGATTTAAGTTGGAGCTGAGGCTGTTACCGTAGAGCTGTCTGCTAGTTTAGTTGTCAGATTTGGGCATGGTGTTGTTCTTGCTGCCCAGTGTTATCAGGATTCTCAACTTGGCTTTCTCACCAGATTTGCTTTCCCCCTCTTGAATTTATCTAGGATCATTTCAATGCCTTTGTGTCTAGTTATCTAACTTGGTTGTGAAGTTTCCATTTAGTTTTGCTACTGATAAGGTAGTTGGAGTGCTATCAGTATTTTGGGCTTGAAAGCTTCAGTTTTCATCTCCTTTTTCTTTATAATTTGTGTGCTGAAGTTTGCAGTCCATGTTAGTGGATTTGAGGGCAGATGTTATTTTGGATTTTGCTTAAGCATTAAGTTCAACAAAAATGTCATTTCTTGTTATGATGTGTTTTAAACCAAATTACTTGTTAGAACTCATTCAATGCCATATTTGGAACTTGCTCATATAAATCTCTTGCTCTAAGTGCATCTGTTTTGATCCATTGGTTTTCAAATGCATTTCCAACTTCACCCTTTGCAACTCACATACCAATGTTTAGCTCTGATGCATTTTGAACAAACTCTCTGATGAGACTCATTTCAAATCATGTTTAGACTTTGCTCAAACTATCTTCTACCAATAAATGCATCTGTTTTGATTTTACCACTGCAAAATGCTTTTCAAAAATGCATTCTTGCAACTCACACACCATATTTTGATCTAATGCCTTTTGATTGTTTATTTCTGTTGTAAATCATTCTATATTGAATTTGAAATGTGTGCAGACCCTCATTATTCTTAGTCCCACCTGCTGTGATCAGTTGAACTTAAAATGCATTTTGAAACTCACCTTGCATGTTCTATCGAGTTATATTGTGTGAGCACTATCTGAGAATTTGATTGATACCATCATGTTCCTTATAAAATTCTAGGCAAGTTTGACTAATTTTTTTTTAAAAATTGATGAAGAATTGAGGAAGTTATGGCGAAATCGTATTTTGGATTTTTGCCTTGAGTCTTGCCTAGCCCAGCCCAGAATTTGTGCGCCTTTAAGTATATTTGCGAATGGGGTGGCGTTATACAATGGATGTATCGCCACCCCAGTGGTTAGTAACATGCCTTGCATTGCCCATGTCATGAGTTCGAGCCCGGCTGGGGCATTTTTGCTTTGATTTCATTTTATTTTTACGTTTTATCTTTTGTTTCTCCCTTTTCATTTGCTTGCATGCGTGTGTTAATGGTAGAGTTGGCTTTGTGTTGTTATTGCAGCCCCAAGGTCTTGAGTTCAAGCCTTGGGTGCTGCATTCTTTTTTTAACATTTTGTTTTTTTTTTGCCTTATTTTCTATTTAGTATCTTTAAATACCATAAAATTCCAAAAACTCTTATTTTTATTTTTTATATTGTAATGTGCCAATTTGTTTTCCATCTTTTATTTTATTTTAATTCTCATTTTATTTCTTTTTTGTTATTTTGGGTTTTTTAACCCATTTTAAAACTATTTAATAAAGAAAATCAATATCTCTTTATATTGAATTAAAAGAGAGGATTAAGTGTAGACTTCTTCCTCTCCGAGTGTTGGGATGCTCACTGTAGTGTGGGCGGTTTCGACACTCGTCTTTCAATACGAAGACGCTTGTATGCTTCCATCCTTTTCTCCTAAAACCTCGACCTCGTACCGAGTCCATTTTCAAACTTTGGCCCCGTATCGAGTACATTTTCAAACCTCGGCCCCGTACCGAGTGCATTTTCAAAACCCTTTCAATAATAAATTGATTTCTCTTTGTATTGAACTAAAGAGAGAGGATTGAGTGTAGATTTCTTCCTCTCCGAGTATCAGGATATTCACTGTAGTGTGGGTGGTCTCGATACTCGTATTTCAATACGAAGACGCTACGTTCGCCACTTCTTTTCATAACAAAAACTTGAATGGTCGTGGAGTGATTAGGCGTAGACCTTCTTCTATCCCGAGTGCTTGACATTTACCGTAGGGTTTACCGTCGCAAAAGCACTTACCATTCAAAACCAAAAACATCTTTAATAAGAGAACGAAATTCTCTTTGCATTGAATTAAAGAGAGAGGATTAAGTGTAGTCTTCTTCCTCTCCGAGTGTCAGGATACTCAATGTAGTGTGTGTGGTCTTGATACTCGTCTTTCAATACGAAGACGCTACGTTCGCCACACCATTTCATAACAAAAACTTTGAGATAAAGAATTGGGTACTACCCGCAAGGGGTTACTATCCGAGGATTTATCTCACCCCGAAAAAGCAATTCAACCAATCAAACGTGACTTCTTGCCTCGCATGGCGAAAACTAATCAATCTTTCAAAAAGAATATGTTACGTCCATTCTACCGCAAACAGGTAACACATAAGTCTCCTCACATACGAGCGGCAAAACACCTAAACTGCTAGAATGCGCACGATATCATCATCCATAAAAACATTAACAAACCTTAGTAGGCCGAACTACAGCTGCTCTGATTCTTTATTTCTTCAAGTAAAGATACGTAGGCACAAGGGTCACAATCCTTTCCGAGCACAATCCCCCATATATCCGTAGCCCCGAACTACGTCGACTCTGAATTTCTCATGCCTTTTGAGAATACGTAGGCCTAGGACCGCGAAGTCCTATCGAGTCTGTTCTTTCTCTCTTCTTCCCTCGTTACTTCTCTTTCCCCGTTACTTCTCTCTCTCTCTCCTATCTCTAACCCTTCTTTTACCCAGTGGAACACTTTTTATAGCATAATATTTAAGCAAATAAATTCACACGTCGACAAAAAAATGGTTTCCATCGAGTACAATGGATGCGAGGGGTGCTAATACCTTCCCTTTCGCATAACCGGCTTCCGAACCCGTTCTCGGTCGCGAGACCATCTTATCCATCTCTTTCCTAATTTTTTCTCGATATTTTCCTTTCCCTTCATGGGATAAATAAAGTTCGGTGGCGAATCTTCTGTCTTTTCTTTTTCGCCTCCCCTTCATTGCGCGATGCATTTTTCGAGTAACGACAATTATATTTTGGTATTTTTGGTGAAAATGATATTTTTGTTCCAAAAGTGTGACAGAACAGTAAAATTTTCTAACTTGATGGCTCGAGAGTGCTTCTGTTCGGTTGAATCAATGATTTAAAAATCAAACTAAATCGGTCGGTGCAATCGGTTGGACCGAGAACCGGATATAAATCTGATTAGGTCAACCTTTCAAAACTGCTAGTGGGTCAAAACCAGAGTTAAACCGAAATAACTAAATGGAACTGTCCAAAACTATTCGAACCAAAGAACCAGTGTCGCTTTTCTAAAACTGTCCGGTTTAAAAAAATTCATCAAATTGACCATTTTTAAAATTTTTAAAATAATTTTAATATGTTAATATCAAAACTTAACATACATTTCTCAATCACAAAAAAAAATTGTGTGTTTTTTACATTCATACAAACTTTTATGTTTTGTCACTTTATTATAATTTTTCTTTCAACCACACTCCATCATCATCATGTCATCTCTTTCAAACATAGTAATAATGTTCAACTCTATTGATTGTCGTTCAAGTCAATATTGTTTGTTATTGTCAATTACTCCTTTCCTCCTAATTATAAGAAGCTTTGAGCATTTCACACTTATTAAGAAATTTAATTATTACTTTAGGGGAAAAACAAATTATGTATGACTTTACCGTCATGTCCCTCGTAATTACACAGAAGTGAAAAATTAAAAGAGTTGAAAGAATATATAATAATAAATATTTGAAGGTATATTGGAAAAAATGTCATTAATATTATATTGAGAATATAAGGTGACAATAAATTTTTTTGGCAAAGTAACTTATAATTTGGGACAGACGGAGTAAGACTTATTTATCGTATTTCAACTCAAATTCAATTTTTTATTGTTTAATAAAATATATTGTATTATTTATATTTTGATATTCTATCTTATTTAACTTAGGTATTCTTAATTATTTAATCTTTATTTTAGTTATTATATTTTATTATTTTAATTTTGATTTGAATTAGTTTTATTTATTTTGTTGTAATTCTTTAGTTTGGTCAAAATATTCTTAAAAGATGATTAAAATAAAATGTAAAACTATGTTATATATTATTGATATTATTGTATTAAATTTGTAATAAATTTTTTAAATATTTATTTTATTAAATTAAAAATATATAATAATATGTAACATATTTATGAATTTATTTTTTATATTATTAATTTAATTAATAAATGATTCAACCAAAAGATTAAGGGATTTAATCAATTAAAATTGAATTTTAAACCCTAAGTTTCGCCTGTTTAATGAAACCCTAACTATCAAATAGGGTTAGGTAAGCTATTATTTTCTTTGAATCTTCTTCCAAAATTTCCCCACTATTACTGATTCTGAGTCTGCGACTCCAATGCATTTTCCTCTTCAAAGATGTCGGAGAAGAGCGTTCATCTTCCGCGGGAACTTATAGAGGAAATCCTGTTGAGGTTGCCGGTGAAGACTCTACTACTCTGCAGGTGCGTCTGTGAGTCATGGCTTTCCCTTATCTCTGGTCCCGATTTCGCAACTTCACATTTTCAACTTGCAGCCTCAACGCCTGCCAATAAACTTATATTCGTAGAAAGTTATCCCGCTCCTGAAACCCTATCCATAGATTTTGATGCATCACTCACCGATGATTCATCATATTCTTTGCTAAGCCTTGATTTTTTCGGTCTCCGATCTCGTCGTGATATTGTTGGTTCTTGTAGAGGGTTTTTGTTTCTGCAGTGTGACTCACGCTTCTACCTATGGAATCCATCCACAGGTGTTCACAAACACATACCTTCCTCTAATATAACTATGGCCCACACTTATCGTTTTGTCTGTCTTTTGTGTGGCTTCGGATACGACCCATCAACCGATGATTACTTATTAGTTTTTGTGTCACACAAATACAACTATGATCCATATGATCCATTTTCTATTGACTTAATGATTTTCTCATTGAGAGCTAACAAGTGGAAGCAAATTGATTCTGGTTCTCATTTTCCTTATGTTATTAATGATGGACATCTTCCTAGAGCCGGGTTGCTCTTGAAGGAAGTTATTCATTGGGTTGCTTTTAATTTTGAGACTTCAAGGTATGCTATTATTGCCTTTGATTTAAAGGAAACCAAAATGTCAGAGATTGCTCTGCCGGATGAATTTAATTTGAGTGTTAGTAACACTTCTTCTATAAAATATGATTTGTTGGTAATTGGAGGACTTCTTAGTGCATGGAATGTTGAGAAGTATACAATTGAGATATGGGTCATGCAAGAATACAAACTACATTCATCTTGGACTAAGACTCTTAATTTCTCTTTTCATTCTGCTATGGAATTTTCACCATTATGCTTTACAAAGTGTGGCAATATAGTTGGAACAGTTCGTGGTGGTGGATTAGCAAAGTTTAATGACAAAGGACAGCTAGAGTATCTCTCTTATGGTAACCGTTACTTCAAAAGATCCAAAATGACGGTATATAGAGAGTCTTTGCTTTCACTCCCTAGTGGCTCTAGATGACTCTTGATAACAAATAAGAATATGATTGTGAAATATTTGCATTTACCATTTGATTGATGATATTCATATCATGTATTATGAACTCTTGATATCATGAAGCATGAGAATTGATAGGCAGAATAATGAAACTGCATGAAGACAGAACAAGATTGAGAGTAGAGTTAGTGCTTGAGCTTCATCGTCTTTATCTTTTTTCTTTTTGCAATATTTTACCTGTTATTGCTGTTTTAATATTAGCAATTTGCTTACTTCCATTTTCCCCCTAATAATGTGTTACCTTTCATTCTTTTAATGGTATTTATTGATGATATGAAACCAATTTTAAGCAGGGAAGATTAGTTAGATATTGACACTAGTTATGCAAACTGGATCATTGTTGATTAGTGTTGTGTAAAAAATATGTTAACTCCTAACAAACCAATAACCATACTTACCCACATTTTTAACCCCTGCCTAATTTATGAACAAATTAAACCAGTACATCTAATCTAAGTGAAAAATAACCAACTGGTATTAATTTAGACTCCTCGAACATTATACATGGTTTTATTTAGTCCTTTAACTTTTATGCTAGGATTTCTGATTATGGAAACTATTTGGGACAGTAAAGAGAGGGTTAGGTGGTTTCATGGTTCATGGAAGATGAATATTGGAATGAAGAAAGAGGTGGTGATTCTAAGAAAAGTGATGAAATACGATCGTATTGAGTTAAAGAGTGATGTAGATTTTAAGATTATGTGGAGAACACATCATCATAGTCTAACTAAGAGACTGTATGTCGGCTCTGACTTGTAGGGCTTCAATGGCACCACCACTAAGCCATGTGACTATGTGGAGCTGCTCGTCACCTTTAGATCCGAGGAGATTGTAAGACAGGTCAAGGTTCGTTTCTTGGTAATAGAGTGCCCCTCCCTGTACTGATGCATCTTGAGAAGGCTAACCCTGGCCGAACTAAAGGCAATGCCATCTACAGTGCACCTAAAGATGAAGTACTACATGCCTAGGGGTCGAGTTGTCACCCTCCACGGAGACATTGAAGCAACCAAAAGATGTTTCGAAGCGGCAATTAAGGGGCTCAACTCAATCAACATCACATCCAAGAATGCTGGCAGACCATCCCGGGATTAGGAGCAGAAGCCGCTACCCCGTGTCAACTCCGCCGACCTCAACAACCGCTTCCCCAACAAGCAGGAGTAGAGCAAAGCACCCGAAGAGGCACCTCCAGCAAACAACGGCAACGGGAAGCCGCCCCATTCAATGCGTCCCATTTCAGATGGAGAGTTCGAGCTCATCACACTCGGTGACGATCCCGACAGGAGCGTGAAGATCGTCACGCGACTCCCCGACCTGACGAGGAAGCAGCTGAAGGCCTGCCTCGGGAAGAATGTTGACCTGTTCGGGTGGAGCGCTATAGAGATGCCCAGGCTTGACCCCGACGTGGCCTGCCACCAGCTCACCATAGATCCGGCCGCTAGGGCTATAGTACAACGTAGGCGTAGGCAGTCTCCCAAGAAAGCGGAGGCTGCTGAAAAAGCTCTCTTAGAGACGAATTTTATTTCGGAAGCCCAGTACACAATCTGGTTGTCCAACGTTGTATTAGTTAAAAAGTCTAATGGAAAATGGAGAATATGCGTTGATTATACCGATCTTAACCGAGCATGTCTCAAAGATGCATATTCATTGCCTAACATCGACAAACTGGTCGACAACTCTGCAAGTTTTAAACTACTATCGTTCATGGACGTCTACTCGGGTTACAACCAAATTCCCATGGCGAAAGTACACGGCTTTCATGACCGAGTCGGAAAATTATTACTACAATGTAATGCCTTTTAACGGTTCACTAATCAAATATAACAGTTCGGCTATTTTAATTTTGGTTCGGCGACTCGGTTTGGTTCATAATTTTCTTGAACACCCTTGGGAGGGTTGTTGGTAAATTGAGCATTGCTTTCGATTAAGGCAGTGGGATTTAGTGAAGTTTTAGATCCTAGATTGATGATTCCTTCTGATATGAAGTTCATAATTGTTAGATTAACAAAATTTCTTTCATTTTGTGTTGGTAATTGAAGGACTGGATCAATAAGTTGCTCTTATATAACTGTAGTTTTCGTGAACTTCTGAATATTTGATAGTAAAGCATGTAGTTGTTAAATAAGTTGTTGAAATATATGTATGGTACAAGTTCTCAAATGTTAGGGACAATTCCTATATCATGTTTATTGACTTTGATTGTTGATTTTGTTGGCCATTTGCACTTGATGTTTCAGTAGCTCATTTTCCAAAGTAGTTGATTCAGTTCTGGCTTTATAGTAATGTCAGTTACTTAAAGGCTAAAAACAAGTTTGAAATCGGTATTATATCAAATTATTAAAACTAAATTCAATTCGAACCTGTTCACAAGATCTTACCTGGTTTTCTTGGTTTGGTTTATTAACACTGAATATCAAAAGGGTCTATGAGATGTAGTTTGGTTTACATCATGCCTAGTTACAATGGGAGTTCTCTTAAATGCAGGGGTTTAGGATATTTGGACAGATTTGAGTGTATTAGAAGTGGATTGAGGGTATTTACTATAACATCACTATAGTAATACCCATATTTACTAAACTTTTTATCCCGCCACACCAAGTATTTGACCTGACACTCAATTTTAGTTTTATATAATACCCATGTTACTCTTGTCAAAATTTTATTAGAAAGTCTAGCTAAACTGAAAGTTCGGTGGAACAATTGAAATGTCCAGTACAAATCAAAAAGTTTGGTAGTGTACTTAAAAAAAGTTGGTATTGGTTTTTAAAAAATTGGTGTATGGAAAAACTTATCGGTTTTTTTAAAAATACCTTGTTTTATCGGATTTTTTTTGCAAAACATAGAAAAGACTGGTAGTTTAAAAGTACTGTTTTTTTAAATCCTCATGCACTTACCAGATTTTTAGTGATATGTTAAAAATTCGATAGTGTAAAGTCAAGGGTTGAGATTTTGTTGACAATTATGTACGGTTGTGATTGCGCCGACCGTTTTTTATGGTCCACAATGAACCAAAATTTGTATAACCGGGTATCATGTGATGTTAAGAAAAAACATCTTACAATGTCTCACTATTTGTTTAAGACATAAGTGTATTTCAACAAGGATATCTCCTGTTAAGTTTGGGCTCCTGGACGACATCACACGTCTCGCTCTTTTGAGATCCAAGTTGAATAATATGTTGTTCCACACTAGAAAGAAAAAGGTGAATAAGATCAAGTTTCTTGAACAATGGATTGATACTAATGGAAGGATGGAATACGGTCGTATTGAGTTAAAGAGTGATGTAGATTTCAAGGTTATGTGGAGAGCATATCATCGTAGTTTAACTAAGAGACCGATCGAGTTTGATGCGATAATTTTTAGATTTGTCGACGATATAATCATGCTGAAACGTCCAAAATTATCTGGTACCGTTTTAGATTTCTAATATATTATTGTTTTAATAAGTTATGTAATCGTCTACCTAAGTTATGTAACCGTTTGCCAAATGTTAAGTTATGCTCATCTTGCAATAATGGAAGTGCCAAAATGTTATTTAATAAACTATGTTGTGCAAATGTCTGATTAATAATACACATAATATTAAAAAAAATGCAAAAATGATAATAAGTTCTAAATAGGTCCCCCACAGGTTAAATGTGTTTTTTGTGATGCCAAGGTATAAACCTCGGCACTTGGGTTTACCAAATCCATGAGGTTATCCATAATAACTGCTTTTATCTGCAGACCCGCACCATGTGACGGTAGAGTCGGCGACACTTCATTAGAAGGTTCCCTAACATGAGAAGGTCCAAAACCATCTTCATGCTCCATATGTGGAATGCTACCAGAGTGTGATACAGTAAGGTACCACTCCAAGTACCCGTCCACACACTATGTAGGGAACTGAACCTCCACTGCACGATCTCTAATGGGATTGATAGAACACAAAACATTATTAACAAACCATCTATCAATGATCTCAGATGGAATAGTAGAGACTGGTCGTGGGGTGTCCTGATATCCAAATTGGTGCAAGCACCTCTCAAGTAAGTGTTTAGCCACTAATGTCTCCCACCACAGATAGTTAGAAAAAGTGAAGTGTCATCGAACTCCTGATGCACTATATGGTTTGTATATGGTGTATAAATGACATTGTCTATAGTCAGCGCATCAAACCTCCTTATTTACACCATAAAACCTCTTGGTTGTACATGCCTAGACTTCCCTGTCTTGGCCCGTGTGGAGCCAGGAGTGGTAGGAATAACCCGCCGCTCACAAATAGAGGAGAAATGCTTGTATATCCAACATTGTACAAGAACCATAGGCAAATCAAGAAATGTCAGAAAATAAGAACCAAAATAATAAGTAACAAAAAATTTCATACATGAAATAGGCTTATATGACCGACAAGCTCTACCTAGTCTCAAAGACAGTCGCCTCTAAAAGTGCAACATATAAAATAGTCAGTGTAACACATCCTTAAGCCCAACTAACACAGGGAAGGCTACTAAACAACCACATGTACTTCACATCAATATATACATGAGACTTATCCGCTAAGATAGTACATCCTACAAGATGTATCATGTATACCCTAGCGGCTGCCTGATACATAAACTAATGCACTAGGTTGCCATACCTATCCCGGAGCCATGATCGGTGAAAGTGAGCACCCCTGCTAAATATAAACAAACTTCTCTTAGCTTTGTTGTTACATAGCGCACTTAGGGTTTTCTTCGATCTTTACCCTTTCCTTTGGATAAATCAAAGCTCAATGGTGAACTTTAAGGTTTGTGATTCAAGTTAATTCAATAGCTTGATATCTGATTCTCACCACAACAGTTAGTTAATGAGAGGAACGGTGAAGAAATTATCTGTTAGGGGAAGATGGAATAAAGAGAAGACATCATCCAAGGTAATCGTCATCTCACCAAATGGAAGATGGAAGGAAGATGTCTCATTAAGCAATCGCTCAACAAAGGTTGTCAATAGCTGATCGTCAAACATCATCAACAAAAAACCCACCAGTGAAATGAGACTGCACTCTTTTACAATCACCCTAACCTCCTATGGCATCGGGGAAGCTATACAGTCTTCAGCTCCTCCCCCCCCCCCATGGGTGGGCACCTTCAGCGGCATCCGGTCCTGTAGCAAACCAAGTAAAAAGAATCAGTTATTTTTAACGTATAAATAATAAATAAAGTCAAGTCCAACATATCATATACATATCTCTCCCTGCCATAATATGAATGCCACATGATCGACATATACAGTAAGCATGGAACAATCACTAGGCCTTCTAGTAAACCTTTCATGTGTGTATACATATGACTCTGTCAAAGCCGAAGCAGTAACCTTTGTCTCAACCTGCGGCGTAACATTCATATCACCCGTAACACGCGTCTCAGTAGTCGTATGCAGAGTAACCTATGTAGTAGTTAAAACCTTCGTCTCAAAAGGATGGGGCATCTTTGTCGTCTCAAAAGGATATGGCACATCTATCTCCTCCACCATTTGCATGCCATCATAAAGTGTTGCTTGGACATCCTCAGCAGCTGGCTCATCATTAGGATCTATGGTTCATCCAACAACTGGTGTAGATCCTCAACGCCAAATACTGTGGGGGTGCACAAAACTACTCAGTCGTCATTCGCCTCATATGAGAACCGTTCAGGGCTACTTTTCCCGCCCGAATATATGAGTCATCTACGTCACCTCCCCTCACACGAGCCTTCACAACAACAGCTTAAGCTTTGTCACACTGTTGAGAAACAATTGTATCATCTGATCCTCTATCCCCACGGGAAAAAAACAATAATATTTAAACTACCTGATTTCTAAAAAATTCAGAAAACTTCATGCTTTTTCCAGATTTGTTTTAAATTTCTAATATAAATTCTTCTTTATCGGTTTTTTCAAAATCACTAGTATGAATGCATGCATTTTTATTGGTTTTTTCAAAAAAAATCTGGTAAATCACATGATTTTTATCGGTTTTTAAAAAACGAAAGAAAAAAAATACATTTTTACCGTTTTTTATTTATAAAAAATCTAGAAAAATGTATGCATTTTTATTGATTTTCTCAAAAAAAAATGGAAAAATGTGGGCATTTTTATCGATTTTTTTAAAATATCCGATAAAATGCATGAAAACATGAGTTTTTATCGGTTCTTTTTTGAAATACATGGAAAAAATGCATGATTTTTTTACACAAAAACCAATATAAACATAAAAATTCGATAAAAAAATTGATACTTAATACTCATAAATCCAATAGTTTACATGAAAAAATTGATATTGACGAAAACTTTTCAAAATCTTTCGTTCAAACACACTATTAAGTAATTGGAAGCATTATCATTTTCCTATCCACTTTTATTTATACAAATCTCCAAATATTTTTAATTCCTTTCAATGTCACTATTTTTTTTTGGGTTTTGATATAGAAATTTTCTTTATTTTTCTTCTACAACTTTATTCCCATATTTACTTTTTTTTTTCTTTTTTTAGAATAACACATTCCTTCTGATTATAGTGAATGTGTACGCTCCGTACGAGGCAAGAAGAAAGCAAATGTTGTGGGCAGACATCATATCGCTAATCACGGCAAAAAAAAAGAGGAAAGATGGTGCCTGCTGGGCGACTTCAACGCAATTCGAACAGAACTTGAAAGGAAAGGACCAAACAACTACTTGAGGAGGGAAGAAGCGAAAACTTTCGACAACTTTATCTCAGAGGCAAACTTAATAGACTTACCCATCCATGGTAGCAGGCTTACATGGTCGAGATCGAAACGGACCAACAATGAGCAGGATTAATAGATTCCTCATTTCCGAATCATTGTACCATACATGGCAGGAATGTAGACAGTGGAGCTTGGAGAAGGAACTATTTGATCACCGCCTGATACAATTGTGTGACAAGAAAGAGAACTGGGGAGATAAACCATTCTGTATGCTTAACTATTGGAGAGAAATAAACGGATATCACAAATTCGTGAAAGAGCAGTGGAGTAACTTAAATGTGGAAGGTTGGGGTATGTTCGTCCTCAAAGAAAAATTCAAAATGATCATAGGAAGCCTCAAAGAGTGGCACAAAAAAAACACTCAAAACCTGGACAGTAGAATCAAAGACATTAAGTTAGAAATCAACAATCTGGAAGCAAAAGGAGAAGAATAAGGATTAACAGAAGAAGAGATTAATGTCAAGAGAGACTTAATAGCCCAAGCATTTAACCTGTCAAAACTGAATTGTAGCATTCAATGGCAAAAATCCGGAGTTAGGTGGCTGAAAGATGGCGATGCGAATACTAGATATTTCCACTGATGCATCAATGGAAGAAAAAGAACCAACGAGATCCTAAGCCTGGAAGCCGGTGGAAGAGAGGTTAAAGAGGTGGAAGACATCATGGATGCAGAAGTAGAACATTTTCAATGTCAATTCTCAGCTAGGGAAACAAGACTTGTTCCAGCCTTCATGAATTTCAAAAGAATTGAGGAACATAATACAGTCAGATTAATTCAAGAGTTCTCAAAAGAAGAAATTTTCTTTGCGGTAAAAGACTGCGATAGCGACAAAAGTCCGAGTCCGGACGGGGTAAACTTAGGGTTTGTGAAAGAATTCTAGGATGATATCAAAGCTGACTTTTTTAGGGTTTTCGAAGAATTTCACCAACATGGTAAGATAGTCAAAGGGGACAATAGTTCGTTTGTGGTACTGATTACAAAGAAGGAAAACTCAAGGAAAATCTCAGAGTTCAGACCAATCTCCTTAATCGGATGTATATACAATGTCTTGTTGAAGGTGTTAACGAATAGACTAAAAAAAGTGATAGGTTCAATTATTTCAGAAACACAATCTGCTTTCGTACCTGAAAGACAAATTATGGATGACATTCTTATCGCAAACGAGATAGTAGATGAAGCAAGGAAAAAAGGAAAGGAAGTCGTGATGTTCAAGGTAGATTTTGAGAAGGCCTACGATTCGATGGACTGAAACATTTCTTGATTTAGTGATGGAAAAATGGGGTTCTAAAAAAGATGGCGAAAAGGGATATGAGAATTGTTAACCTCTGTCGTACCTCGAAAAAAGCACGACCCTTCGTGAATGGTCGCGGAAAACAGAGTCGCCACCGAAATTTATTTATCCCAAAAGGGGAAAAAATATCAAGAAAACCCTTAGGGAAAGAACATGGTCATCGCAACCAAGTTCTAGGTTCGGAATTCGGTTACATGAGGGAGGTATTAGCACCGCTCACGTCAGTTGTACTCAACGGAAACCTCTTGATTCGATTTGTGAGAACTGTTAGGTTAGCTTATTTGTTTTCTTCTAAGGTGAATAAGCGAAAAGGTAATATAAAAGGGTTTAGATTGCTGATGAGAAATATGTGGTTTTTAGACTAGGGTGCTCGCCAAGGATTGGGGCCCTTGTGCCTACGTATTTTCACTTGAAAGAAGTGAAGAATCAGAGCGTCTGTAGTTCATGGGACTACGGTAGAAAAGAGAGGAGGTTGCTCGCTAGGATCTCGCAATCCTATGCCTACGTATTCTCATTGACAAATGAGAAATCAGAGCGTTCGTAGTTCAGACGATGGATGGTGGTTTGATTTTAATGAAAGATACTTAGTCGCATTCGACAAAAAATATTGGTTTACCCAAACGGGTGAGGAGAGGACGCTTGCATCACTTTGAATGGATTTCCATATATCAACATTCATGGGAAACACGCCACTTATCTCGACTCAAATAGGTTATGGGCGAAGAAATATTTTTCATCATCTCATGACACCATATCTCACGTTTATGAAAAGGTTTTATGGACTCGAGAAACAAACTGAAACTAAAGACAACTGAATTTAGGACCATGTCAAGCTCATTTAGAGTGGATTCAAGTGGGAATCACTCTATACATAGTCGGCCCACAAAATCTATGCGTTTGTACGTGTTTCCAAAGCAAAATCAAGTTTATGTCCCGAATTCGTAACACAGTAGAATTGACACAACAATCTAAATAACAACTAAAAACAAATAAATAATTAAACTTTGATTAAATAATCAATTAACATAAAAAAAATCAATTAGTTAATTATTAATTTAAATAACTAATTTAATCAAAATGCAAAGAAATAAAAAAAAAAAAAAAGGAATAATATGATAAGAGTGCAAATATTTAAAGGGGGAGTAAGTATAAAAAAACCAAGAGAACCAAAGCCCATAATCAAGCATAAATCCAACTAATTAAAAAAAGAAAAAAGAATTTAAAAAAAAGGAAGTAAGAAAAACAGAAGAAGCAGCGCACCACATTTGAGAGAGCTTCATATTCTTCTCAAATTAAATAATTTCATATTCTTCTCAAAATTGGAATTGAAACTTGAATTAGATAAAATTGGAATTGAACTTGAATTGGATTGAAATTAGAAATGAATTGAAACTTTGGAGATAAATTTAAACTTTGTAACTTGAATTTTGGATGGAATTTAAAAAATGAAACTTGAAACTTGAACATGAACTTAATCTTGAAATTTGATTGAAATTGAAACAAAATTTGGACACTTGAACTTTGAAACTTGAATTAAGATGAAATTGATCCTTGAATTTTTTTATTATTTGAAACTTGAGATTGAATTTGAATTGGAATTTCTGAATTTGGTTATGAAACTTGAAATTTGAATAGGATTGAAAAAATAAATAAATAAATGAAGAACTTGAATTTTGTTGAATTGAAATGAGCTTGAATGAAATTATGAATTGAAATTGGAAATGGATTGGATTGGATTGAATTTGGAACTTGAACTTGAATAAAACTAGAAAAGTATTGAAACCTGAATCTTATTTGAGTTGAAAATAAATTGGATGAAATTATGAAATCGGGCATAAACTTAATCTTAGACTAAACTTGAACATTTGTTGTGACTAGAAATTCTAAGATGAGCTTGGAATGGGAGACTTAGGCGAATTTGAACTTGAATGGAAATCTTGAATGACATGAGACATGAAATTGAAATTGAACTAGAATTGAAATGGGATTGAGACTCGAATTTTGGATTGGAATATGGCCTTGAAACTTGAACATGAATTGAAATTAGAAGGAAATAGAACTTGAAATTGAATCGGTTTGGATTAGAATTGATTTTAAATTGAAATGAAATTGGTCCTTAGAGCTTGAATTCTTGAATTTCGACCAAACCATGAATCAATTGAAATAATTTTGAATAACTAATACTCCTGACTTGATCCAACAATTTGTCCTCGAAACCATATTTCAACATCTTGAACTCTTCATTAAAATCATGCCAAAATGCATTAAAACTTTGAATCAATTCCATGAAAAATAACACCACATCCGGATTCTATCTTTAAACAAAAACATAAACCACTTAATCAGGGCTTGTGAATGACTTGATATACTAACCAAATGTCTTGACTTTTGGTGGCTCTGTAACTTGATTTCATTCGATAACTTGAATCTTTGCACAAAACCCTAATATGGATCCTCGAACACAAATGCTTGAATCTAAACCACAATTATCTCCAAAATAGCCACTAACACAAATGACTCGAGATATGAACTGTAGTGTCACTGTACCGAAACCCTAATTGAAATTCTCCTAGCCCCGATGATTATCCACTTTGAAAAAAATAGTCTTTGCCGCAACCTGATAACTTGATAATTGAACCAGCTAGCCTCGAATGAAACTCAACTAAATGGAACTTGCTCGTCTTAAACACAAAGGCTGAGAAACCCTAATCTTCGCCTTGAGTGTACACGGATGATACAATGACTTGCTGAAACTAAATCTCTGATTCAAAATCTTTACCACAACCTAATAACTTGTTTTGATAACTTTTTCTGATCCTTGATTTGATCTTGCAAAACCTGAGCTTGGACAACACAAACCTAGAAGCCAAAAGGCGCATATCTTGTAGGTATAATAGTTAGATGACATGAATAAAAGGTATGATGCACAGATGATGATAATGCTATGAAATGCATGGTTGGCGATTCAGGATCAAAATTAGGGTGTAACAACCTCTTCCTCAGTATTAGTGTTGGTAAACAAAATCCCTACTGAGGAAATTAAGATGTGTCGAGGACTTAGACAAGCCGATCCCATAGCGCTTTTTCTATTCCTCATTGCAGCTGAAGGTTTCAGCGTGTTAATGAAAGAGGCCTTGGAGATACGGAAAATCTATGGATTTAAATTTGAGAGAGGGGCGAAAGTGTTTTCACATTTACAATACACCGATGATACTTTAATCATTGGCGAAAAAACTGGTCAAATATAAGCACCATAATGATGAATCTTAAACTATTTGAAACCATGTCAGGCCTTAAAGTAAATTTCCACAAGAGCTTACTAGTGGGGATAAACATTCCCTATCACTGGCTTGAAGAAGCAGCAAAAGTGATCAATTGTAAACTAGGACCCTCAACCTTCACTTACCTTGGTCTTCCAATAGGTGTTAATCCAAGAAGAAAAGATATGTGGCAATTGGTCATTGATATTGTGAGATCAAGATTGTCATGATGGAAGAATAAGCATTTATCGATAGGAGGTCGCGTGATCATAATTAAATCGGTTTTGTAAAACCGGTCTATTTTCTCTCCTTCTTCAAGGTGTCATTAGGTGTCATATCTAAACTGGAATCTTTGTTCAAGCAGTACTTATGGGGCGGGAGCGAGAAAGAGAGGAAGACCAATTGGATTAAATGGGACCAGGTCTGCAGGCCTATAAATAAGAGGGGATTGGGAATAAAAAATTTGAGGGTTTTTAACCTTGCTCTGCTAGGTAAATGGAACTGGAAAACAAAGTTTGAAAGAAGTGAATTATGGTACAGATCTTTTGTAGACATATACGAGATGAGAGGCGAAGACATCAACAAAGATATGAAAGGACCGTCGGCTTGGTGGCAAGATATCTGTCAAATAGACGTGTCACACCTCATTTCACCATCTGGTTACTCAGTGAGAGAGGTGTACAAAAATCTATCATCGATTGACCAACTTGAGTCTAATCACTCTCGGTCAAAGATATGGAATAAGGCGATACCATTCAAAGTCTCATGTATGATTTGGAGAACACTCCAAAATAGAATTCCCACAAAAGTCAATCTGGTCAACAGAGGCATTATCCCCCAGGATCAGATCAACTGCATTGGTAATTGCGGGTCTAAGGAATC